TGGTATAGTTTCCGCTCTTTGCTTGTCGGTCCTATTCAAGGTTTTTCAGCGATGATCGATCGTTGCACGCGCTACCCAACAGTGGCGCTTGCAGAAGAGTTCGGTGCCATACCCTGTGTTCTGCAGTCATCCAGACTCGAATCGCAGATATTCAAGGCGTCTCGACACAGTCATTGGGCGCTGCCGAGTTGGACAATGTCGTTGTGAAGGCCAATTACAGCGGGCCAAGCGGGTTCTGGCACTCTAAATGTCTTGTCCGGCGGCTACTCCACGACTAGCACCGAGCATAGGTACGACCGTACGAGAGGACCAGAAAGCATCAGGCAAGCCTGAAAGCAGTGCGGTCTCGTCGTTAATGATAATTCTGCAAGTCGTCCGGAGTGTTTCCCTTCATTTCTCTTCCTCGACTCGAAGCGAGCTGCCTGAAGAATACCTCTTCTCTGTTTCCCCCGCATCCCCCTGTCTGCTCTTGTTACCCCTCATCGGTCTCGCTTTCTATCGCGCCTGCGCCACTAGGCAGCGTGATTTCAGCCCATACTTACTCCTATTCACGGTCGCAATCGGTAAGAAAAAGGGATATTCTGGCTTTGCATTCTTTCTTCTCCTTTCCTGCGCTCTGTCGTCGTTGTCTTCCTTTTTGACTTGTCATATTCCAGTCACTAGCACGAAACTGAGCATTGGTGATTTATCGCTCCCATGAACCCCAACAGTATCCATCAGGGTAACCCTGAGGGAGAACTTTTTCTCAATTCCTCGAGTCGACCGCCGGCAGAGTCTCCTGTGGTAGAGCCGTTACGCATCAGCAAAAGAGATACACCTTCACCGGCATCCCAGGGCTCTGCGCCGCTTCCATACCCTGATGACCGGCCCAGACTGGGCCAGATGCGCAGCTCGTCTGGTTCCACCGGATCGAGTCCGACGACTGGTGAATCTGGCAGACATGGGTCCCCTATTTCACCCGTAAATAACTTGTCCTCGATGCCGGCAGGCTCCAGCGCAACGAGACCCTCGGAGTACCCGGCAGCTCTCCGGCCGCGGGACGGTCGCGAGCCCAAGCCAGCTACGTTGGCCGAAAGACGGGGCAATACCGCTCCCAAACCGTTACCAGAATCGCCGGGTCCAGATGCGCCAGATAGAGAAGCCTTGTTTGCCCGGAAATATCAGCGCGTTCCAGCGTCTTCGGCCCAATCGTCGGATGGTATTCAGCGGGAAGAAAGTAATGCATATCCGGATTATCAGCAGCAGTATTGGCCGCCGCCTCAACCATCGACTCCATCTGCTGTCTCTACGAGCGTAGGGGCGTCGCAGAGTCTACAACCTCCTAGCAGCACGATCAATCGAATCAGCTCGACCGCATCCAATTCGACGACCCGTGCCCAGAGGGGATCGCCTCCACCCCCGGAAACTCCCGTCGTCGGCCCTGGCCAACAACCTGGATCTGATATTGAGGCCCGGTATGCAGCTTCCGGCATTGCGGGCACCTCGACACTGGCAGGATTGCATGCGCAAAGTGCTGCCGCCCAGCGAAGAGCAGAACCATACGTCGGTCAATTACCTAGAACCCAGCAGCACCAGCTTCCCACTCAACGGCCGTGGACTCCAACAGAGCAGCCGGGGTCTCAACCACATGGTCCACCCACAGTTTACCAGGGCGTTGAGGCCGTCGGATCACGATCACCGAATCCACCGGCCAGTTCCTATCAACCTCCTCCACCTCAACCCGTCGCAACGCCGCCTCATTCCGCTGCTCAGGGCCAACAGCCGCCGAGGATTCCGCCCAACGCACTGGAGCAAGACCTTGAAAGGATGCGTATTAGTTCCTCGCCTCCTCCTGCGTACTCGAGCGTATCTGGATCTGCCGCTCCCCAAGGCTATCCAAATGAAAAGCAGCGTTTGTCGGCTTCGATGGGCCAGCCAGCTCTTGCAGCAAGCCATCCCGCAACTATGGCTCCTACCACTGCTGCTGCTGCTGCGCCTGTTGCTCCAACAGTCTCGCCCCAAGACCATCCGGCGTTTGCCAACGAACCCCGGCAGCAGTCCCCGGCAGGTTTATCACCACTGAATGGTACTTCGGCCGGGCGCCAGTCTACCCCTGTGCAGAATGCACCAGCCGCTTCCTTGCCCAGCTCATCGACGGTTCCTCCAGCCTCTCCGCCGCCGCTCCCAGAAGGATGGATAGCCCATCTGGACCCTAATTCAGGACAGTACTATTATATCCACCTCCCAACTCAGTCGACCCAGTGGGAATTCCCCAAGGGACCGACTCCTTTGAACCTGAACGAAACTCCGTTGTCACCGGTCGGCAGCGTGTACAGTAGTCATCCTCTTGCCTCCCCCGGTTTTTCAGCTTTTGGAAAGCCACTGGCCTCTCCCGGCATACCTCTTACGCCTGGTCTAGCGCCCGGCTATGAGAGTCTGCAATCACCCGTAGTGGCTGGTTTCAGCGGGCCCCCTCCGAGCAGTGGGGTTGATCTGTATAAAGTTGCTCCAACCAACGGTGTTTACTTCGGACCCTATCTCCGGTACACGAACATGGATCTCGAGCGCGGTATCTGGCTGGGCTCTATTCTGCTGGTCACCGACGCTGCCCAGCCGCCGACCATTCACATCCATCAGAGCGTCGATCTGTCGCCCAATCCCCGGCAGCTCAAGCCAATGAGCATTGCCGTGCACCAGCGCTGGACGTTTTACAAGTACGAGGTTGACTTGCGGATGGAGGAGTCCGGTCCCGCCAAGTGGACGTATGCCATTACATCGCACCTTGGGTGCACTCGGTACGAGTTCCTCGTGGCTGGTCGGTACGAGACGAACTGGCGCTTCGTCGCCACTTCCGGCAACGACTTCTCGCTAAACGTAAATGCAAATGAGAGGTCCCGTCTGGGAGGAATCGGTTTCATGTGGAAGGACATCATGCAGAAACATAATGAGATCGGGGGCTTTCATGCGCAGCTGTGCTGTGGTGGCCAGATTTACGCGGATCGAATGTGGAAGGAGATTCCATCCCTGAAGCAGTGGCTTGCGATTAGTGGAAAAGAAGCTCGCAAAAATGCGCCGTGGACGGCAGCGCATGAGGAGGATGTTTCTCATGCTTATTTCCATTATTACACCAGTCATTTTGACCAGCCTTATCTGAGGGAATCGTTTGCTCAGGTTCCGTACGTCTGCCAGATTGATGACCATGATATGTGAGTATTGCGCCACCTTGTCCTCTTGTGAAGGAGGAGCAACTGACTTTGCCAGCTTTGATGGGTTCGGCTCGTACCCTGAGCATATGCAATTCTCAAACATGTTCAAGAACGTGGGGCGCATTGGTATTGAGATGTATCTGCTCTTCCAACACCATACGACGCTGGAGATCTTGCGAAACGTCAACACCGACATAGATCTTTTCACCATCACGGGGACGGGTTGGCATTTCGTCAAGTATTTAGGGCCAGCTGTTGTCGTCGTTGGCGCCGATTGTAGGTCGGAACGAAACCCGCACCAAGTCATAGCTGGACCGACGTATCAGGGCATTTTCCCTAAGGTCGCCATGTTGCCTCCTTCGGTGCAGCACTGTATATGGATGTTGTCGGTCCCCATCATCTACCCCCGCTTAGAGACTGCCGAGCACATCGCACATACTGTTGCCACGGGGAAAAGGGCCGTCACGGGGGCGTACAACGTGCTGGGCAAAGTCACGAGCTCTGTGGCCGGCGTGGTTGGCGCCAGAGATATGGTCGGCTCTGGTTTCGACTCGGTCAAGCGAGCCGTGGGTAAGTCTGGTCTCATGGGTGGGATACTAAGTCCCTTTGGGGAGTTTGATCTGCTCGATGAATTGCGGGATCAATGGACGCATGAATCCAAGGTTTGTGCATTGAGTTCGACTGTCATGCTCAATACCTGGAATGCTAATGCGACAATACAGGATCTCGAACGGACATATCTCATTCGCACACTTCAAGGCATCGCCCACCAGAAGTCCCTGCGAATGACCTTCCTTTCCGGTGCCGTGAACGTCTGCGGTGCGGGCCTAGTGCACGATCCAGCCCACCCACAGGACCACAAGACCATGTACCAGATAATCTCCTCAGCCGTTGTCAACAGCCCTCCCCCCTCGTACATCATCAAGCTCCTCCACAGCAGCCACAAGCCCCTATACGTTCCCGCGAACGGCCACCGCTCCACCCCGTCGCAACCCACAGATACCAAGGAAGACATGATGGAGATCTTCCAGACGGACGTCACGGGCCAAACACGCGAATATCGCAAACTTATGGGTCGGCGCAACTATGTGGCCATCGTCGCCTACGACCCCGAGGTTGTGAACACCATGTACGGTCAGAACATGCCCCATGGCAGCGGCAAGCTTAATCTCGCCGTCGACTTTATGGTTCAGGGTGACGGCACCTACGGGAATGTAGTCAAGTATGGACCCGTCATTGTCCCAAGCCTGGAGCATGGGAAATGATGTCAGTTTGTCATGCAATGCCCTGTCGTTAGCGTTCGTTGAGTTTTTTCCTTCCCCGGTCTGTGTTATGTGATGAGCATGACTTTTCTTTCTCCTAATCTCATCGTTGTTTGGCCTGTTCTTGATATATATTATGTGTTCATAGCGACGAGCTTAGATTGCCTCACGTCAAGTTTTGAATCCGTCATGAGTTCTTCTTCTCTTCTTCTTTGGGTTCCTTTCGTCTCTCTGGTGAGCTACTTCACGCAGATAACCAACATTGAGCATGTCTGGTCCATTGCGCGAGCCAATGGGAGCTAGATTCGCTCCATAATCGGCATCTCTCTACGTCTAGAAAGTGATGTCGCAAGATTCGGCTGGGCTAGCTTCAGACGGATTCTCGTTCGAAAGTGGTAGGCAAAATTTTATTAGGTCGCTAAATAGCATATCCAAGTGATTACAGTCACACTGAGAAGAAAGGAGCAAGTGGGGAAGGCAAAGGGTATCACTTCTCGAATATCTAGCTTCAATCGTATATCGCGAATCACCGGACCTGTGTGATCATGAAGCCCTAGTTCTGAATGTCAGATATCTTGCCAGTTGGATCACCGCCTGGTACACAAAGCCCAAGCCGCCAGAAATAGTCGCGATGTGCGAAGAACAGCTCCCACAGTCGGTACCTGGAGGGGATGAGATGCCAAGGCAGGCTGAATGGCGTCTGTAGTTGCTCATGATCAGTAACATCGGCATCTGCACTACTATGAAGTACTCTATCTGCCAAAAAGGCCTGATGGGGCGATTGGACCCGTTTCGATAGAGGTTGCTTGGTCAAAGGGATATCATCCAACTCCTTCAGCACCAACCCCACAGCTCCGTCCGCTCCTGCAATGCATCGAGCATCGTTGTCGCCCTGGCATAGTCTGATGTCATGGGGTAAAGGTGAAAGCTCCACCTTAGCGATAAATATCTCCCCCGCATGCATCTCGTAACCCCATTCTTGCAATGGGAGTAGAGGCACCGGATCGTTGACATGTGTGACTCTTCGAAATCTTGAGTCCTGGGCATCAGCTCCCAAGCCATCTAGATCAAAAATTCGATCCAGAAACCCCACAAAGGCCTTGTTTCCGATCCTTGGCTCTCCAAAAGTGGTCACTTGTGGATCCCACCCGCGCAGTTGCATTTCGACCCCGGCGAGGGCGGCGACGGCGCCGCCAAGCGAGTGGCCGACCAAAACCAAGCTGTAATCCGGGTAACGGGCCCTTGCCGCAGCTACGTGCTCGAGTACTATGGCGCGAGTGTTACTCCAAGAGGCCAAAAAACCTGCATGGACCGTGCAGTTCAGACAGTGTAAATGGCCGGACATCTTTCCATCCTCGGGATGATACGGTACATAGGCCTGAGGATAGGCGGATAGATCGATGATTGTGTTAGCGATCGAGTAAGTACCGCGAAAGGCAACGATGATGCGCTTCGGGGATGGTCCGTGGGAGAGGGCTATGTAGCCACAGGAATCGGAGAGGAAGGGGCCGGTATTCCAAGTCTGGAGATGATGTAAGTGATCAAGCTTGAACAGAAAGGCCAAATGTAAGGTGAGAGTCATTCAACATACGGTGACCAGTTCGAAGCCCTGGAATTCGCTACAATGACTGAGACAATTAAATGGTTTCCGAATTTTAGTGGTCCCAACGCAGTACGAGACATCGACGAGACGTGAGAGCTCTTCGAGTGATTCGAAGAGTTCCTCAGATATCTGCTGTCGTTGCCCTTCATCATCCCTGCCGAATGTTGCCCCTTCCACGCTCACAGCGAAGAGACCGGAAAAGCAGGCGAAAATAGTGACACAGAACAGGCAATACTTGTGAAGCATGATTGAAGAAAAACCCCATACCATAAGTCTCAGTCTCTTGGGCTAGAGAACATCATTGACTGTGCTCTCTATCAACAGCGGAACAGGCACTTTGTTCAGACCTTGGGCTTCCAGGAAGATAGTGACAATGGGCTCGTGATGTGCCATCGTGATTTGTGACGTTTTTTCGAGAATCTGGGGTAGTCAGGTGACTCCCATCCATATCAGTTATCCACATGGCTCCACTGCCCGAATTGTGTTAGTGGAGCTGTCCAATGACGTACGGGTTGCAGTACAACTGGTCCCTGATGACTACCTCTCTGGGCTATCACAAACAACAAACAACGATAATAATGCGGAGAGGAAAATCGTCCTTTTGTTTGTACAATTTCCAGTAGCTGTATAATGCTCCTTGACTATTTACATATGTTTCTTGCGGGCTGATAAGCCTGTCCATGTCGCTTGTCTACTGTGATTGAAGTATAGGTGATTGCTTATGAATATCAAACTTGTTCAACGGAGTCTATATCAGCCATGTCCAACTATTCAAGTGCCGGACCCTAGTATAGACATTTCAGAACAACGTCGACTGCGTTGTTGAAGAAGTAGGTAAGTGTGGGCGGACATCTAGATGGTCCAGACCACGACACGACCATCAACTCCGCTCGCTAGCACGCAGCCGTTAGTGATACCCTCTCCGATAAGGCGAGTGCCTCATAATGGAGCATGTATAACTTACTGCTAAACTGGCGGACCGCACCGCCCGTCTCTTCATACATCCTAATCGTGTTGATGGTGTTCTGATGGATCGTCTTAAGCTGTGTGTCCGCGTGAGTCTGTCCCTTGAGATCCATCTGGCGGAACATATTGAGGGCCGACTCGTCCCGCACACTGCCAGCTCCGGCTCCCGTCTTGCTCTCGATAGCACCTGCCAGCTTCCACCCGCTCTCATCGCCGCTGAAGCGGAATGGCTCGCAATCCTAGCGACGGTCAGCACGGTAGACTCCGCACTACTACAAAGGTCATTAGGTACTCACATGTCCGGCGGCAATAATCTCGTTTTCCCCGTTCCAAATCAGGCTAGTGAACGGCAAGAGGCGTGTGGTGATGTTCAACATGGCCCTAGGAGGTTGTTCGGGGGCACTGGGATACACAACAGTGACACTGCTGTCATGACCAGTGAAAGCTAGAGCGTTTCCACTAGGGGAGAAGCACACAGCATGGATCCATCCAGCCGAGTCGTTGAGGAACTCCCCGCAGACTGTGTTGAACGGAAGACGTTCTCCCCATGCGCTTGGCTCGGGGCGCGTGTCGATACCTTTGATGAAACTGGAGAAAACCCGTGCATGAGAGTCCGTCGAACCCGCGGCCAGCAGAACGGAGTTTGGATGCCACGCGAGAGTAGTGATGGTGCTCCGAATGGGCTTCTTCAAGTGCTTTGAAATCCACCAGTCGTTCTCCTCTTCGAAGTAGCAGACGGCAATGACGCGGGCTCCCGAGCCAACGGCGAATTTCTGCTCTGATGGGGACCAACGCACAAAAGTTGCAGCTCTGTTGATCCGGAGAAGAACTAGAGTCGGCTTCCAACCCGTCGGGGTTTGTTCCCAAACATAAGCATTACGATCTATACGCGAGGGGTAGGTTAGCTGGTGTGGAGGTCAGGATGGGTGCGCATTTGTGAAGGACAGGGTACCTTGAGAACAAGTGACGATACGGCCACTATTGGGAGCAATATCAACACTTGTCACGGTCTTTTCATGTCCCTTGAGTTCATCGGTCAAGGAGAACTTGTTGCCTGTTCGCTGATAAAGCTCCACATTGTTCTCCCGTGCAACGGCCAAGGTGCTCTTATCGCTTGAGAAGGAATGATCCGCAATTGGACTGTGAAACAAATGATGGACCTCAGGTGCAGACATGGTAGTATGAACGACAGGAGGATCTCTCTACTGTCATGCGAGAACGATGATTATTTGGAGCGTTGGGTACGGGGTAATCTATGTAGAGGGAGCAACAACCTCGAATGGCTATGCGGGACCAGGGGGAGATGACGAATGAAGCGGGCGGAGCGATTAGGTAACGCATCACATGATCAAAGGAGCTAAGGACGTCCACACAGCAAAAGATGGGCGAATAGTGTTCATGCATTGGAACGCGTTCAACAGTAACTACATAAGCTATTCGATTTTTTCGCACGCCTCTACTCATTAAGTCTCAGTATCTCGGTCACATCCTGTCTCTTCAAGTCATGTCTGCAAGAGTGGCCTCCGTACGCGGTGGCAATCAGAACAACTCTGTGCCTGCTGGCGTACCGAACCAAACGTCAGTCTCCCTGCCTTGCTCCTACTGCTAATTGGAATTGACTGACAGAAAATCAGGCTATATTGTACCAATCTCCCAGACAAACTCCGGAAGTACGACTTACGGTTATCGCTCTACACTCTTTTCTCCACCTACGGTACTGTCTTGGACGTCGTGGCCATGAAAAATGAGAAAATGCGCGGTCAAGCGCATATTGTGTTCAAGGATGTCCAGGCTAGCACACAAGCTATGCGCGCGTTACAGGGTTTCGAATTCTTCGGGAAAGAAATGGTAGGTGCTTTTTGATTCAACGGTCTCGCCATTGGTGTTAACGCGGTGTAATTTCAGAAAATTGTCTATGCCAAGGGCACGTCGGATGTGATCGCCAGGCTACGTGGGACCTACAACGTCCCCACAACTACTGCTACCCAAGCTACAGGTGCTTCCACAGATCTCCAGAAATCGATATTCAGCGGTCCGCCTGGATCCACAGCACTGCCCCCGAAACCCGCGGGGCAGGTCAACGGCGAGGCCCAGGCAGCTCATGGAACTAAGCGGCCTCGTGAGGAAGAAAGTGATGAAGAAGAGGCGCCGATGGACGAGGACAGTGACGTGCCAATGGAAGCCTCGTCAGACGAAGATTAAGAGCGCATGGTCAATTGCGGCTATCCCCGGTTCAGAGAGAGAGGGATCAGTAGTAGGAGGCAGCGCTAAAGTCTTCTCGAAGCATCGTTTGCTTCACAATCCTCCTGATTTAACTCCGGGAAAGGTTCTTGTGTATCTGTTGCGAAAATCTCACACGGCAGTCGAAGACCAACGCAATTGCCTACCAGCCCAAGCCAGATGAGGAGATACGTTTCGGCAGTGATCTTTCGCCACCCTGCGATACGCATCATCGCATCTGCGGTGTTGCAAGGGTGAACGAAGAATGCCGGAACGCCAGATTCGGGATGATACTACGAAGTGTGAGCTCCACAACGGTCTGATATGCGAAAGAAACAATAAAAGCACATGCACCTACGCCAACACTAATGCCACCCATGACACCCACACTTTTCAGTTCCTTTTTGTACTGGTCCGGTACCAGAAGGTGGTAGACAGCGTCTATCCCTAGCGACTGTGGATGTCCATCGCGCCGTAACAGGAAATATAGGACGGGGACGCGGTATACGGGGGAGAGAAGGATATCATAATCTACATGTAACCCAGGACTCGTCTGGATTGTTCGAATCAGAGTTTCCTGGTGTTGGCTGTCAGATCATAGTGCAGGTGTACATAGGAGCACATTCTCCACGAACAGGATCATCTTCGCACAAATTTGGTTCTTGAGACTCGCCCAGTTCTGGCGTTATGTCGTCAATGTGTTCGCTGGCGAGGTGTTCAATGCTTCGCGAAATTTTGAGAATAGCGCCAGTAGTCTAGAAGGTCGACAAAGCAAAGGATGAAAATATGACATCAGAAAGTCTAGCCTCACGGTCCAGGGTACTGACCGCTCGAAGGAGAGGCCTCTCGAGAGTAAGTTCTTACCTTTTGCACAAGCCTAACGGAGGACCAATGTACATGAACTGGATCTCTGGCCAGATCATGAACTCGACTCAGGAAGGCGCGACAGGCGCAGGCGAATTCCTCTGGAGTTAGCGAGGGAAAGGCCGAAAGGGGGCCCTGGCTGGACGGAGACGTCATTCGACTGCACGATCAGCAGAGACGCGGTGTAGGCGAAGCTGGATAAGTAGGTAGCTAAGGTAGGCAGAGTCCTCGGTAGCCGACAAAAAGCGATTGCAGAAGCTCTTGCGTTGCAGTGCAGAATGCAGACGCACTGTACACCGACTCAGTTGCCACTGTCAATCCTGACTCCCGACGACGCGTTCAGAACTCTGGCCCGGCATTGATCAAGGATAGGTTGCTGTTTGCAGAAGTCCTTGGGCAGCTGTGTGGCAGGTATGCATTTGACTGTCCCCGTCCCAGAAGAGTTCAAAACACAACGTCCGGATACGGAAAGCTTCCGAACCGTAGGCAGAGAGGGTCTGTACGCCGTGGTGATGCTCCTTCTGCTGTGTATGCAGTATCTAGATATTTAGCAGTGGTGATGGTTCATATAACGGTTCAGGGTTAAACAATATATTTTGTCGTCGTAAAAAGCATTTGTCGTAGAAGAGAGAAGCGCGGATAGCATAGAATAAATGATGCGCAGCGAGCAGTGGGTCGAGGAGGAAAATAATTTTGAACCACGCAGTACTGGGGATCCAAAGTTGATAATTGGATTATGAATATAACAATGGTATTATGGAATCGAGATCTTAGAACTACCCACAAATCTGATCTCGTCTAAAATCATCCTTATGATCCGAGACATCCAGCACACAGGGTCCCATAGTGAAGGTACCTCAGAGTGCCGCCTTGCGTCTGAGATCCTTTAAGCACGATTCTACGTAACACTTATCCAATGACAGTGGAGATTGGGGATCAGAGCTCGATCTATCATGTATGTTTCTGAGAGTCGTGGTTGAGTCGGCGGCTGTTTCACTTTGCAGATGCTGTTTGCGACAACCTTCGATCTTCTTTCGGTTTTCAGAGTTTCCCCACCGCCACACCACCTAACTATCTACAGAGTACGTTAGTAGCAGCAGTCAAGGCCTAAATGAACTAACTGACAGCCAATTGTCTAGACCACGCTCTCCAATGTCCGTTTCTAGCTTAACTATACTTACCAATCAATCAGCAAA